GTCCTCCCCTACAGGAGCCGGGGGACCTGTTCTCCTGCCCCTGTCCCCGTGTGTAACCCCCCACCCCCCACCCTGCTGGAAATTGTTTCCTTCACATTTTGCCATAATGTATATTTTTCCACTTGAATTCCTAGGATTTGTCTTTTCATTGTTTTCCTCTCTTTTTAAATTTAAAAGTTTTTTTTTTTTAAAGGAAAGGAGAAAGTGAGGATGTGCCTATGTCTCTGCTGGCCTCAGGACCGGCTGGCTGGGCTCCGAGAGGCCAGGCCTGGGGACCAGAGGGAGGTGGCTCAGGGTTTGTGGGGAGGACTTTTCACCTTCCTTGTCTGGAGCCCAGTCTCCAGGGTGACAGCTCGGAGGACCCCTGACTGTCTCCCCACACCGGGGAGTTGGGAGGCAGGGACACAAGCTGGCTCCTCTCATGGGAAGCCTTTTCTTTTCTTTCCGCTGGCCCAGCCTGACTGCACAAGGTGGGCACATCCCACAAGTGGCGGGGGTTGGGGGGTCCTTGAAGGCAGGGGATCTGGAGGCTGCTGGAGGGGGTGACCTTGCAGGATGGTGGGAGGACTTTTTGAGACAGGTGGGGTGGGGTGAGCCATGCCAGGGAGGATGGGGAAGTGCTGCGAGGGGAGTATCCCAGGCACAGTGAGGGGTCAGAGGGTCCTGCCATGGTCAGGCCTTCTGAAAACCTAAGCTCACCTCAGGCACGGACAACCCCAGGTAGTGCAGTTTATTCATTCTTCTGTTTTACAACATTTAGGTTGTTTCCATTTTTTTTTGCAGGTTCAGACAGTGCTGTGTTGAGCGACTTTGTGTGGGTCTCCTGTGCCCACGTGCCGGGGTTTCCTTGGGGACGAGTGTGGACGGGGAAGCCCTGGCTTGCGGGCAGCCGGTGCATTCAGCGTTACTAGACGCTGCCGTGTGGCTCTGCGCAGGGTTCTGATGGACACGCCTTGATCAAGTGTCCAGTGCCTTGTAGTGAAGGAGGCCCCGAGGGATGGGGCAAGCATAAGTCGGTTTTGATGGGTGGGACGGCCCAGGGAGAAGGGGAGGCGTGGAGCCTGGGCGGGCTGGGGAGGAGCCGCGGAGCCGGGAGAGGTAGCGGGTCCTGTTGGAAAGCAGTCAGGGGCTGGCCTGGACCCCACACCTCCCAGTGCAGTGATGAGAGCCTCGCCTGGAGGTGGCTCTGCCCCTGCTACTGTGCACCCCCGGGCAAGGCCTCTCTGGCCTCTGTCTCTTCACTGTCCATCCAACTTGGGCCAGGAGGTCTCCAAAGTCCCCACGGACTTGATGTGCTCAGATTTTCTTGGCAAGCGGCTGTGGCTTCCTGCCCCTGGCCGGCGATCAGAGGCTCCAGCTTGGCTGGGATGGCAGAACTTGCAGCTGGCAAGTGGCATTTGGGTGTTTGTCAGGAGCCTGGGGGCTGGGGTCCTGGCAGGAGGCTGGGCAGAGGCTTGCCAAGGGGGACCCAGGAGAGCCAGGAAGGCGATAGGGACTCCCAGACTTCTTCATGTGTGTCTCTCTCCCCATATGATCCTGTGCCTGGAGCCTGGGGGGTGGAGGGCTCAGTCTCTGCCCTGAGATTGGGGGAGGGCTTTGTGGGCTTTAATTTGATTATATCTCCTTTCACTGGACCCATGGGTTCTTATTTTATTCAGTGACACTGGGGGAAGGGCACAGGGTGAGGAGGAGTGCCCCTCCCTGGGGGAGAGGTTTGAAGCGGGCATCTGCGGGAGTCTTAGCCACGTGGCCCAGGGACTGGGCAGAGGGATGGCTGCTGGGCTTGGTGTGACTTTGGGTCTGTAGCAGCGCGGCCTGGAGTGCACAGGGTGGGCTGTGTCGGTGGTGGACGTGGCTCTATGCCAGAGCGTGCATTCTGTGTCTGTGTGTGTACATGCATGCTAACCCCCTAACAGAGGGTGCAGAAGAGGCTCCGGCACCTGAAACAGTGCCCTTTATTCTCCGTGGCTGCTGTGGAGTAATTGCTTTGCAAGGAAAGTGAACTGTCCAGGAGGGGAGGGGCTGCAGGAAGTGGGGGACTCTCTGCCTGAGGGAGGCTCTGGACACAGACCCGGACTGCAGTCCTGCTGACTGGCTGTGCGACCTTGGCTAGGCTATTTAGCACCCTGAGCCTCAGCTTCGTCATCTGTAAGATGGAGATATTAGCACCTGCTAATATGTGAGGTTCATGGAGACTGGGCCTCGCACGGTGCCAGGCATGCAGTGGGTGCTCATGGCCTCTCGGGCCTCTCCGGTCCTCTCTGGCTGCAGCAGGCGCCAAGACAGCATTGAGGCAGAGGTTGTGCCACTGCCAGGTGCTTGTATCACCCCAGGAGAGGGCCCGGCTTGTGAGCCAGCTCCTTTCCCCACCCTGCGCAGCCATTGCTGACAGTAGGGCTGTGAAACAAAGGGACCCCATGGGCACTTGGTTTCTCATCCTGGGGGCAGCAACACTAGTGGGCACTCACCCCAGGGTGGGCGCCATGCCCGTCATGCTCATGGGCCCACAAGCCCCCTCGACTCCACAACCCTATCCCTTCCCTTCATGACTGGCTGAAAGCTGGCTGCTGGAGCCAGATGGCCCAAGTTCAAACCCCAGCCCTGCCCCTGACCGTCTTCATGAAACTGGGGAAGCTACTTAACCTCTCTGTGCCTCAATTTCCTCATTTATAAATTGGAGATGTGGTGATTACACTGACCTCAGGTGAATGAATCCATGTGAAATTTGCAGAGTAGCATTTACCATGTGTTGGACACTCCATAAATGTTCATTAGTATTATGGAGTGCTGCATGCCCCTCCCCCCGCACTCCCCTCTGGTCTGAATCTCTTGAAGTTGTGAGAACATCAGAGCCTCCTCAGACTGCACTTGCATCTCAAGTACCTTGTGGCTCACTCACACTCCCGCTAACTGAGCCGTGGCCACCTAATCCTTCCTTCACCAGCAAAACGAAACTTGCAAGATATGCCCTGAGGTGCCAGGCAGGACCATCACACGGATCCTCTTAGAGGAGCGTCACTCAGAAATATGACTTAACGGTTTCTCCCTGTTTGAGAGCAATTAACCCCCTTCCCCTGCCTTCCTCCTGGCTCCTGCAGCCAGGTGGCTCATCCTCCCCTTCCTTCCCCTCCCAGTCCAGCCTCTTCCTCTGTCCATCTGTCTCCCCAGATGGGGGGAGAAATGTCGCAATTGGCCCACTTTCTAAGTGGAAGGAAACCATATGGAGGGTTAGTTGGGAGCTGAGAGGCGGCCCGGCCAGCGGCGCAGCCAGCAGCTGCCTGCCTTGGCTGTCTCTGTGGCCCCAGACTGACAGGGGCCCCAGTCCTGCCCGAGCACCCTTGCTCCTTCTCCCCTCCCCATGAGCTCCTAGTAACCATGCTCTTCTCTAGCCCTTGGGACTCCTTGGTTAGGAGGGACCCGAGGAGCTGTGTGTGTGTGCACGTGTGTGCTAGCTCGTGCACGTGTGCACGCATGTGCACATGTGTGTGCATGTGTGTGTGCACGTGTGTGTGTGTGTGTGTGTGTGTGTGTGTTGTGTCCTGTGGCCCCAGGCTAGCAGGCGCCTGGCACAGAGCAGCCACTCCTTCCAGTGAGGGTACCCTGTTCTCCCCAGAATGTCTACCACCTGGCCACTTGCACCTCTAAGGACTCAGCCCAGTGTCACCGCCTTTGGGCAGCCTTCCCTGCTGGCCATCTCCTTGCCCACGGGTAGGGGCCCCTCCATGGGTGAAGCTGGGTGCTGGCACTGCCCTGTGGGGCTGATGGTAGTCGTGTTTCCTGCAGTCTGAGCCTGTGGTAGTTCTACCCAGAATTTTCTGATGTATTGGGACAAGTCTGTGTAGAAGGCTCAGGTGGCCCCAGTCTGGACCTCAAGGAGTGCTCAGCCAAGGTGTTTGGTTTGAGGCACTGTGTTGAGTTGAGTGGGACCCAGAGGAGGGCAGCAGCTAGATACCCGGGCCGGCTTCAAGATTAATCCCTCATGCTTTTCCAATGACTGCCACCAGAGGCCTCCGGGGTCTTATTCTCTGGGGGTCTCCAGCTCCTGGACTCCAGAACTGTGTGGCTCTGGGCAAGCCACTTCTCTTCCCTGAGCTTCAGTTTCCTCATCCGTTAAAGGCAGTGGCTGATACCAGCATGGCCCACAGATGCTCTGTACCAGGAGGTCAGGTGGGATTTAAATACATGAATGACATCTGTCCCCTGCCAGCACTTGAGAGGCGCATCTGGGGCTGGGGACTGGCTGCACACAAGTGCTCCCAGGGCCTCTGATGGCCGCCCAGCCTGGGCGTGAATCCCGACAACACCAAGCATTGACCCTCTCCTGATGGCTCCAGCCCCAGTGGCTGCGCATGCTGCTCTTACCAAGGGCCTGGTGATGGGCATGGGGCCCAGGGACAGGAGCCCTGAGACATGTGCGGATGTGGGTGTAGCAGGCACAACGCCTCAGGGTGGGCTGTCTTCCCAGATTTAACCCTCCAAGAAACGTTATGAGGTGGTTACAATAAAAATAATCAACGTTTACTAAACACTAGGTACCGGATGTTGTCTTTATATGCATTACCTTACTTATTTTATAACAATTCTATGAAATAGGTGATACCAATGTTTTCACTTTATAGATGATGTATGTGCAGCACAGAGAGGTTCAGTAACTGACCTAAGGTCACACAGCAGTAAGTGGCAGAGCTGAGATTTGAACCCAGGCAGTCTAGCTCCTAAATATGATGCTGTGCTGCTTCTAGCTGCTGTATGGGGAAACTGAGGTTCAGAGTACTTAAGTGACATGTCCAGTGTCACCAGCTGGTAAGTGGAGCCAAGACTGGTACTGCAGCTATTCTGACTGCACAGCCTATATCCAGAGGCTGGGACCCCAGGGCTGGGAGTCGGGCTGGGGAGCCTGCGCGGCACCCAGCCCCCATCTCCTGGAGTGTGTGTTGGGAGAGTGGTGGGGAGACTCAGGCTCCCCTGCCCGCCTCAAATAACTAGTGCCCCTCCTGCAGGGGGCGTGTGCATCGCCCAGTCGGTGAAGATACCCCGGGAGCCCAAGGCAGGCGAGTTCGACAAGATCATCCGCCGCCTCCTGGAGACCTCGAACGCCAGGGCAGTCATCATCTTCGCCAACGAGGATGACATCAGGTGAGGGCAGACGGCAGCGGGGTGGGCACCGGGAGCCACGCAGTGTGGGCAGAGCCATGGGTCCTGTCCTACTTTCCCAGGCCAGCCTGACCCCACCCTGGGATCCAGAGAAGTGGGTACAGGTGAGCGGGTGTGTGGGCAGGGAGGCCCCCAGGCTGGGGTGCAGGCCGCTGCTATGGGGCACCACTTCCCTCCCCCCTCCATTCTTGCATCCACCCCAGCTGCTAGAGATGGCTACCTGGGTGATTTAACAGAGGGCTGAGGCCGTGGGCTTGGGGCCAGACCACTTAGGTTCTAATGCTGTTCTCCCACCTACTAGCTGTGTGACCTCAGGTGAATTTCTTAACCTCTCTGGGCCTCTGCTGCTAAAAAACAAATGAGCTAACGATACCTGCCTGATAGTATTTGAGAATTCAATGCAGGAATGTGCATAAAAGGCTTAGAGTAGCATCTGGCATGAAATAGGCGCCCAGTGAATGTGCGCCACCCCTCAGCTCCTCCCTCCTTTCTGTGGTGAGCTCAGGGTACAGAGACGAGGTCTGGGTTGTGTGTGGTTCTAGTCTTGGCTTAGGCTCAGAGCGACCAGGCTGAGGGGAGGCACCGCCTTGTCCTCAGGGAGCCCCAGGCTGAGGGGAGATACAGCCCCCCCAGAATCTGGTAGGGTTCTCTAGTCCCCGCTGGCCACTTCTCCTTCAGAGAGGAGGGTGAGAGCAGGTGCGGCCCCTGCCAGGCCTCCTCAGGTATCTGGCTCAGGCTGGCAGAGCCTGCTGTGCCCTCAGACCCCCCTCACTGGACCAGCCAAGGCTGCCCTGTGTGCCCAGCCCTTCCCAGGTGGCTTCCTCCTATTCCTCACCACTGCTCCCAAACCATTTCTCACTTGGAAAGGCCCTAACCTGGACTCCAGCATTGCTGCAAAACAGATCCCTCCCAGGCCACTGGGGGGTCCCTGGAGGGATGGGGGAGGGCTTTGGCCTCAAAGGACGAAAGGACCAACTGCAATGGTGGTGTCTCAGGCAGTGAAAGGCCAGGGAGGGGAGCCCTCCAGCCCCATCCCGACCCCTTGGAGCTGCATAGAGGCAGCGCCCAGTCCCTTGAGGCGTGCAGGTCCCCTGAGTTCCGGCTCTGAAGGTTTCTGACGGCCACCGCTCAGCCAGCTCCTGCCCCCTACTCCCACCCCAAAGCCTGGCAAGACTCGGCCCCCTCTCCCCACCCTACTCGGCACCTCACTCCAGGCCTGCTGTTTTGGGGGCCACTTTCAGCTTAGATGGACCCACGTGCTGGGAGGGGGACTGAATGCACTGGGCCTTTTGTCCCAGAGAAGAGGCCCCTAGGGGAGGTCTGGAAGGGAGCTAGACTGACTTCTGGAGCAGGCTGCAGGAAGCGGGAAGCGGGTGGAGGGGGGGTCATTTCTGGAAATCCACATGCATTTTCAGAAGCAAACAGATGTGAAAATAAACCCAGGTGACTCTGCAGGGCTGGATGGTCGGGAGCTCTGGCCATCTCAGGCTGGCCAGATGCAGGCGGGTATTAACAGGGTGTGGGTGTGGGTTCTGAGAGCAGCCTTACCTGCCATTAGTGGTGGCCTAGGATGGCGGGTGGGGGCGGGGGCTACACCAGTGAGCGGAGCTGGAAAGCCTCAGGCGTTGGGAGATGATGGAGGTGTCGGGGGGATGAGGATGGACAAGACCAGCTCAGGTGAAGGCCCTGCGGCCTGGAAACATCTGTTTCTCCCTGAAAGCCCAGGCCCTCCAGCCCCTGCCGGCCACCTCCTGCGCAGGCCCAGCAGCCACCCCTGAGCCCTGGGGTCTGTGCCCTGGTCCCCACTGACGGAAGGGCCTGGACAGTTTCTAGTATCACAGACGCTTGCTTGCTGTGTGACATGAGCAAGTTCCTTACCTCCTCCCTGCCTAGTCTCTCCGTGGGAGCTGGGTTAGGGGAATGCTGCCTTTTCCTCCTTGTTTTTCCCCTCTGGGGAGATGTCTTTGAGAGGCCACTTCATTCATGCCTCCCCGAAGCCCATGCTGTGGGCTCCGTGGCCCCAGGCTGGGCTTTTGGGTCCCTGGTTTGATTCGGATTACCATCGCAGGCAGACTGGGCTGTGTGAGCACAGGGCAGCTCCACACCCGCCTCCCTCCATCACCCACTCCCACTCAGGGTGTGGGGAGCAGCTCTCTGAAGGGCCTGGGCTTTTGGCACAGAGGGCGGTGAATGAAGAGGGAGCCTCAGGCAGGAGGCAGCATGTGCAGGGGGGGAAGGGGCGGTTGTGTGGTGGTGGATGGGTGTGAGGATGGGCAGGGTGTGGGGATGGATGGGCAGGAAGGCATGTGTCTCAGGAGATGGGGCTGGGCAGAGGTGGTTCTGGGGCCTGAGTCAGACGTGGGGCGGGTGTGGATCTGGGGGTACAGGGGTGGTGTTTTCAGGGACAGATGGGGACCTGGAGAATTACACTGGGGCTGCAGGCAAGCGTGGGCCCAGGGGCGGACAGGTTGGATGAGGCAGTAGCCATGAGCCTATGGGCAGGTGGGGGCAGGGCGTAGGGGGAACCCATGGGCATGGGTGCCGGGACAGTTGTGGACCCTGGGCTTCTGGGGGTCAGGGATGTGGGCCCACAGCAAGTGTGGCCAGGAGTGGGGGCAGGTGCCTGGACAGACACGGCTGGGCTGGGCTGGACTGGTGTGTGTTCCTACAGGCGTGTGCTGGAGGCAGCGCGAAGGGCCAACCAGACAGGCCATTTCTTCTGGATGGGCTCTGATAGCTGGGGCTCCAAGATTGCACCGGTGCTGCACCTGGAGGAGGTGGCTGAGGGGGCTGTCACGATCCTCCCCAAGAGGATGTCCGTGCGAGGTAGGCCGGGCGGGCGCTGGTGGTCGGCGCCATTCTGGACTGCTCCTCCTGTCGCCCCTCCCAGCTTCCTTCCTCTCCTGCTCCTCCTCTTTCCAAAGCCGTCCTTCCTCCTCCGCGGCCCCGAGCCTCTTGTGTTTGGAGATCCTGGGCTGGGAGGTCTTTTAGGCCACACTCAACACAGCAGAATTTGAATCCAGATTCAGGACCTTTCCTCCTGCCTTCTCAGTGATTTTTTTGGGGTGGAAGGTGTGTGGAGAGTCCACTCAGAAGAGGGCTGGGGGCTGCCGGCCACGCTACAGGACAGGGCTTCCCTGCAGAGCCTGCCTGGGCTTGGCAGGCCCCGGGTGGCGCTGAGGCTGGGCCTGACTTGCCCTGAACCCCCTCCTCTTGGGGCAGAACCCACAGTCTCCTGGGCAGGAACGAACTTCTCTGGCCAGAACCTCACAGGCAATGAGGTGTGATGTTCCCATGAGTGGGCTGATTTGGCAGGGACCTGGCAGTCCTCAGCGTGGGGAGAAGGCTCCCTGGGCCCTCTCCTTCCCTGCCCTCCCTCCCTTCAATAGGAGCCAGCGTTAATGGAGCTGGGAGGCACCGCAGACATCGGCCTTTCCAAGGCACCTCCCAAGACACTGAGGCCTGACGAGGGGAGGGACTTGCTCAAGGTCACACAGCAGTGTCCTCTCTTCATCCTGAGGCAGGGGGAGTGCCCCGGCCCATACCTGTCCATAGGCCCATGGCTACCCTGTCATCCAAACCTGCCCCCTGGCCTACACCTGCCTACAGGCCCAGTGTGAACCCCCAGGGCCACATCTGTCCCTGCAAAGACCACACCTGTCTCCCCCTCCACACGTGCCCTACGTCTGACTCAGGCCCCAGAACCACCTCTGCCCAGCCCCGTCCCCTCAGACACATGCCTTCCTGCCCCATCCATCCCCACCTCCCGTACCCATCACGCATCCAACCCCCACCCCCAACACACACAGCGGGAGTTTCCAACCACCCCAAGCCATAACCAACACAGTGTGAGGATAACTGTGCTTAGGGTGCTGGCCCATGCCACGCCCCCGACAGACAGCTCCTCTAGTCTCCCAGTCACCCAGAGATTCACTCTTCCCCATCTTTAGTAGACGATACGCAGGGCTCGGAGAGATTCAGACACGCACCGTGCAGCGAGTGGCGGAGCTGGGGCCGGAATCCAGGACTTGCCTGACAAGTTCCTTTTCTCTCAGGAACATTTGAGAACAATGGTCCTCATCTGGGGGTGATTTTGACCTCCGAGGGGCATTTGGCAATTTCTGGAGCCATTTTTGGTGTTGACACTTGGGGGATGCTGCCGCCAGCCTCCGGTGGGTAGAGGTCAGGGTGCTGCCTGGCCTCCTGTGGTGCATGGGACGGCCCCCGACAGGAGTTGTCCTGCCCAGAGTGTCCACAGCGCTGAAGCTGAGAAATCCTACTGCAGGTCAAAGCTCCGGCTCCAGCCAGCGAGTCTCCTGCCACGCGGCCAGTCATTTTGCTCCCACTTGGACGTTTCCATGGGCCTCACTGAGCTTTCAGGTCTCTGGCCCATACAGAGCAGCTCGGTCCACAGGGCTGGGTACAGTCAGTATGGCAGGAGGGGCGTCTGGGAGGAGGAGAGGGTCAGTATGGCAGGAGGGGCGTCTGGGAGGAGGAGAGGGTGGTGTTCACCGCCTGCCTGCCCACCCTGGGAAAGGGTTTCCCAGGCTGAGAGCAGAACTGTGAGCCGTGCAGAGCACGTGGGAGAGGGAGGCTGCCCCTGTCAGTGACAGGGACATCTGGATATGAAGGGAGAAGGTCCAGGTCCTGGTCTTGCTGTGTGGCCCGGGTGGTCCCCACCTCTCTCATCCTTCCTGGCCTCCTCTTCAGGAGCTCCCGGGGTTGGACAGCCCCACCAGCCTCTGTATGGTAATCTCAGGGCTCCCAGGCGGCCCCTCGGAGCCTGCTGTTAGCATTGCAGTGGTTAAAGGCCGTGGCAACATCTTCATCCGTGTGCTTCTCTTCCATAAAGGCAGCAGTTGTAGATTACACTCGCTCCCCCTGGGACCTAATACAGCTCTTTTCATTTTGAATGAAATGAAATGCTCCACATTTGTTTTCTCCTGGATCAGAGGATGTGCTCCTCCGGGTCTCTCTCCCTCCGCCTGGGCCATCTCATCCTGGGGGAGGCGGGAAGGGCTGGGGCTGGTGGGATGGAGGCCAGTGAGGCCCTGACTTCCCGGTTCCCTGCCAGGCTTCGACCGCTACTTCTCCAGCCGCACACTGGACAACAACAGGCGCAACATCTGGTTTGCGGAGTTCTGGGAGGACAACTTCCACTGCAAGCTGAGCCGCCACGCCCTCAAGAAGGGCAGCCACGTCAAGAAGTGCACCAGTGAGCTCGTGGGCTGGGCGGGGCCGGGCGGGGCCGGGCGGGCTCGGGCGGGCTTTAGAAGGAGCCGAGCCTGGGGGCCTGACCGGGAATCTCCGGAGTTGGGCAGGCACCTGCGATGGAGTTGGGAGGCCCTGGGGCGGGGCCTGGAGAGGCGGGGCCACAGCTGATTTGGGGTGTGGCCCTGAGATCCTTGGGAGGGGCAAGGCCCGGCTGCCTCCGGCTTGGTGTGGACGTCCTTAGGGCGAACCCATAGCCCTGAACTGACCCCTCTTGTCCTGTGTCCAGTCTTGACGCATACCAGGCTGGGCACTTCCCAGAAACCACCCCAGGGTTCCCTCCAGGGTTCCCTCAGTCACTCAGTAAGCACCAGTTTGGCTCCCAGGCGTGGCTTGCCCCAGCGTAAGCATGGATATGTGGCAGTGAAGAAAGAGTCCAACGGCACTCCAAGTTTTTATTCTAATGGGAGACAGAGGATCAGCACGATGAGTGAATTATAGAATATGTCAGAACAGAAACGTGCAGGAGAAACAAAACAGATAATAACAAGAATGGAAAGTGTGAGGGGAAGGGAACCTGCAGCTGTGAATTGGCCAGGGACGGCCTGCTTGCACAGGTGACATCTGACCCCTGACATGAGAGGGAAGAACTGCGCGGGGGAGGGGCAGTGATCGGCCCATTTTACAGATGGGAGAACAGAGGCTCGGAGGGGGTGAGTAGAGGGACCTGAATTCCCATAGATGGAGGGTGGTAGAGCACGACTTGCACCCGGATCTGAGCCCTAGGCCCCCCACCCCCTAGATAGCCACTGTGGTGTGTCCACTTCAGATACATCTGGACAGGGGTCTTTTCATGACCTGGGTCTGGGTCATTCTGTGGCAGGACCCAGCCTCGATAACATTGGGGTGCTCTGGTGCCTCTCAGTTTGAGGGGTGCTTAAACGAGAATGATGAGTTGCACTCTGTATCCTCCCATACTTGAACGTGCAGTTGGGCAAAGGGCGGGGCACAGGCTGCGTGGAATCTTTGGCAGACAGGTCCTCCAGGGCCAGGGAGAAGGGAGTGTGATGAGGGTGGGCGGGGAGCATGCTGCCCTCTGGTGGCCAGAGCCCAAAGGGACTTGCGCCACTGGACCACTGGGGACCTGGAGAAGCTCGCAGCCAAACCTACGGGATCTGCAGAGTGAGTGCAGGTGTGTGGGTGTGCGCAGGTGTGAATACATCTGTGGCATATGACTTCGTGTGTGTGGGAGTTGGTGTTCCTGAGAGTGAAGGGGTGTGTGTGCCTGTGTCTTACATGGGGCTTGCATATTCCTGGGTGAGCTAAACATAAACACTGCTGTTTACTATGTATCCACCATGTTCCAGACACTTTAAAGACATCATCTTTAGAATGTAAAAGACATTTCACTCTCACAGCAAATCTAGGAACTCTTAAGATTCCTGCACTCTAGATGAGGATATGGAGAGTCAGAGAGACCAAGTGATTTGCCCGAGGCTGCACAGCAAATGCCTGAATCCGGCAGTGATCACATGTGCAAACATGCCTGGTGTGGAGGCTGAGCCCTCACGGGTGGGGTGGCCGTGTGTTCTGGCGTCATTATTGAGAGCATCCCCTCCGGTTCTTGGAAGTGCCCATGTGGGATGGAAAATTGTTTGGGCACCCTGACTGTAGCTCACCAGACCTAGCTTGGGGATGAGGATGGGGATGGATGGGATGGCGGTGGGGTGGGGAGGGAAGACTGGAAGTGGTGGCAAGATGGATAGCTGGGGCCTCCTGGACCCAGTGTCTAGGCTGTCGAGGGGTCTGGGCTGTCAAGGGGAAGGGCTTTTTGGAATCTCCTCTTTGTCTGGGAGGGGCAGGAGGGGAGAAGCTTCGGTCAGTTCCTGTAGGCTCTGTCTAGACTCCTAGTTCTTGGGGCAGGATTCATGAACCTCTCCAGCAGTCCTAAGGGAGGCATTTGGTCTGATGGTCAGCGCAGGTGGGGAAGGAGGACTGGGGCAGGGTTCAGCAGAGCGCAGAGCTCGGCTGGGCTCGGTGGCTCATGCCTGTAATCGCAGCTCTTTGGGAGGCCGACGTGGGTAGATTATCTGAGGTCAGGAGTTCAGCCCGGTCAACATGGCAAAACCCATCTCTACTAAAAATACAGAAATTAGCCCGGTGTGGTGGCAGGCACCTGTAATCCCAGTTACTCAGGAGGCTGAGGTATGAGAATCGCTTGGACCTGGGAGGTGGAGGTCGCAGTGAGCCGAGATTGCACCACTGCACTCCAGCCTGGGCGACAGAATGAGATTCCATCTCAAAAAAAAAAAAAAGAAAAAAAAGAGCAGAGAGCTTTGCTGTGAGCCTGAGGCAAGCTCTGTGACCTTTCCGGGCCTTTGCTTTCTCATCTGAGCAACGGGATTGATGAGCTGGCCCAGAGGGTGTCTCTGGAAGGAAGTGAAGCATTAATGGAGGCACTTCCCGATCTGTAAGTGGCAGCTGTAAAGCCTGGAGGTGCGTTAGAGTCACCTGGGAGCTTTTAACACCAGGCCAGGGTACCACCCCCAGACCAACTAGCTCAGAATCTTAGGGGAGGGGCCTAGGCTGTGGATTTTTACACGGCTCCCTAGGTGATTTTAATGTGTATTTAGGGCTGGAGCAGTGGTTTCCAAGCTTTGTTCACATTGAATCACCTGGGGATCTTTTAAAAATACGGATACCCTAGACATTCTGGTTTAATTTGCACTGGATGCAACCTGAGCATAGGGATTTTTTGAAGTGCCCCAGGTGGTTCTACTGTGCAGCAAAGTTTGGGAGCCTCTGGCTTGGAGGAAGGACGCATGCGCCCTAGGCTGGGTTGGGGGGCGCCATGAGCAAGGGGCAGAGGCTCTAGTGGAGGCGGTGGGTCTCAGCAGACCCGAATCCTTCCTGCTGCATTGGGAGCCCCAGCAGAGGTAGGTCAGAGTCCCTGTGTGGCCCCAGGCCAGGCACCACGAGCCTCTTGGTCTGTCTCTGGGTGAGGTAAGGGGCAGGTGGGGGTACTGCTGGGAATGTTTTGTGGGACCTGAGACTCTGGGGGAGGGGCAGGCAGCTCTGGTTTCCCCATGACCCTGCCTCTGAGCTGAGTCTGTCCTGCTGGAGAAGGCCTTAGGCCAGGAGGGCTGGAGTGACACCCACGGAGAGCTGGGAGCAGGGGCAGGGGAAGGACCCACCCCTGGGTCTGAGTCTGGCTCTGCCTCCTCCCTGCTGTGTGACCTTGGACAAGTTATCTGACTTCTCTGAGTCTCCGCTGCTGTCTGTAGAACAGGGAAGGCAACAGCTATCTCAGTGGCTGTGAGGTTTAGAGAGAAAGCATGTGAGGAGGCTGGCTGAGAATGATATATATGATAGGTGCTGATAAAATCATTGTTATTGCTGATTTAGAGAGGAAATGGGAGAGTTGGGATTTAGACAGGCAATTGGGTAATCTAATAGTCCAAGTCTGTTGGTACCAATTCTGTCTGTCTGCTATGTGGAAAGAATGAGGAAAGAATGTGCCATCCTGAAGGTGGGTGGTATAGATGGTCACAGCTGCAACTCCCATTTTACAGAAGAGGAAACTGAGGCAACTTGTGAATATCACAGAGCTAGAGAGTTGTCAGTGCTGGATTTGTGCCCAGGTAGCCTGGCTGTGAAGCCAGTACTGGCCCCTGCCATCTGCCCACTTCCTGTCCTTCCCTCCTACTCCTCCGGGGCCCCTCTCTGTAGCCCTTAGCCAGCCCAGCCATGCTCTGTGGTCTCCGAGATGTACTCTCCACCTGCCCCACTCTTTCTCCAGAGCCTGGCTTCCCGTCACCTCTTCAGGATCAGCTCACTCCGCTCTCCTGGATGTTCCCATTCCATAGTTGGCCTCCACCTGCTTCAGTCCCGCAGGCCTGCCCTGCTCAAGGCCTCACTGACAGCAAGTGCCACTCCTGTGTCCTTTGCTTGGCCAAATCCATTCCTTCCCACCCCAGGTGATGGATGGTTCTGGTGACCATCCAAGAGGGTGGGAAGGGCCCTCTCATCCTGGGGTCTTGTGTTTGGGACGATTTGATTCATCTTCCAAGGCTGTCTGAAGTGGAGTTCCCCAAAGATGAGGATTTGATAGCAAGTAGTTGATTTGGGAGGGGATTCCAGGAAAGAGGAGAGAAGGCAGAGATTCGGGGTGTGAGATCAAGCTGGTTGCCACTGTGAACAACTGGAGCTGAATCCTCCTGGGACAGAGGACCAGGCCTCTCAGTCGTCCCACACAGAGCAAGAGGGAGCCGGGGTATGTGTGTGCCAGCCCCCATCGGTCATTGGTGGAGGGATGCTCCTGGAGGCCATTATTCCTTGGCACCTCCAGCCTGCCAAATGGCTGGGCAGAGAGGGCTTCTGCGCCTGAGAAAGCCTCAGAAGGGTGGCACATCCTGGCAGCTGGAGGCTGGACTGGTGTGTGCTGACATGGTCAGGGTTAGAGGGTAGGGTAGAGCACTCATTCTTTCTCAAACATACAGCTACTGGGTGTGACTGCTGGTGCTGCCGCTTCCTAGCTCTGTGGCCTTGGGCAGGTTACCTCACCTCTGGGGGCCTCAATTTCCTCATCTGTGAAATGGGAATTATATCATCCCCTTCCATTCTCTCCAGAGGCTCATCTCCAGCAGAGTGCTACCTCCCTCACGGCTTCCAGGGAACGGATGGGAGCTGATTTGCAAGAAGCACTTCCAGGTGGCCCGTGGGTCCCCCAACCCCAGTGAGCTGAGGTCACTGAGAGGGGCATCTGTGCAGCTGTCAAGCCTACAGGAAGATAGCGCCCGCCTCCTCCTTCCCTCCCAGACCCTCCCCGGGAGCCCAGAGAACAGGGTTTGGGAATTAAAGTCGTAAACAAGGCAGATGTGGCATCCGTCTTTTTGACAGCGCTGCCAGCCAGGTGATGGCTGAGCGGAGGAAGGCCCGGTTTATGAGGAGATAGGAAAAATTACTGCCTGCTGCTCACAGGGGCTGGGAGTCCGGAGAGGGAGG